CAATGTAAAATTAAGTATAAAATAAAAAAAATGAAATAAGAAAAATGAATTGGTTAATTATTTGAATGACTTTTTAAGTGAAGAAAATATATACATTTCCAATGACTCCACACATGTTTTGTCTGGGAATGCAACTGCTGGTTATTCCACAAATAGTTTTTGAGTTGTGGGAAGATGGCAGAGGTTTTCCTCCCTCACTTGTTTAATGAGTATATCCAATTTTAATTCAAATGCTTTCATATGTGACTGCATATCACAGATGAACTTCTCCTTTCTTTGAAGTTGCACATTGAAACTGTTGAGTAGCTCTATTATATCTGTCAGAAATGCAAGGTGCCATTTCCATTCAGCATATCTTGCAGACGTTTCATGACCCAAACTAGGTAATATCAGCAGTGCCAGAAGAGAATGTGGTTTGTGGAGTGGAGGAGAAGAAAAGAAGAGGACGAAGAGGGCAGTTGTGGGTTCCTTGGTCCTCTCTTGAGCTTCTTAGCTTTCTTGTAGACGTCTCATGACCCAAACTAGGTAACAATATTAGTTCACTTATTATCCCACTTTGGGTCCTGAAACGTCTGCAAGAAAACCACCATCCTCAGAGACACCCCCCTTCAAGGAGCCTTCATTTTAACCCTTGAGCCAGAAATATTCTCCTTGATTGACATTCCAGACTGTCTCAGGGCAGAAGAACCTGCCTGGCAGGACCTCATTCCTCTTTCCCATGGGGCACATCCCAATGCCCCCCCTTCCTCCATCCTTTCCTGGACCCTAAAGGCCAATGAAGTTTCTCTCAACCACCAGCACTGGCATTCTCAGTTCCTCAGAGCTATTCCACCAGCTCCGGCTTTGCCCGAACGTGGCAGCCCCCCCCCTCCCCGTTTGTGGATTGGGATGCTCCTCCAAAGGCGACCACATCCTCCCTCCCAGTTGCTCCCCTGACCTTTCATTACCTTAGCTCCACACAACCCCTCGCAACCCTGAAATAACTTTCCAGGAGTAAATTCTTCTTTTTTCTTGCTCTCCCTGGCCATCCCTCACAAATACTTCACCCATCATCCGCTCCCCTCAGACCCATAACTGGCGCCTCACTCCAGCAGCCCCACTCCAACCGCTGGTGGGGCTGGGTCCCTCAGCAATGGTAGAGGTGATGTTGAGGGCTGGCGGCACCAGTTTCCTTTTGGCTGGCATGGCGGCGGCGGCAGTAGCAGCAAAGGCTGGGGCTTGCGTTCCGTAGTGCCTAGTGAGGGACCCGCCTCAGAAACAGCAGCAGCAGTGGCATCGTCATCACCAGGCTTGGCTTCCCTAAGCGAGGCCAAGGCTGCAAGTGAGGCCTAAACCTCTCAGCCTGCACCTGAGGAAAAAACACAAATAGGCGAGAGGAGGAGAGGAAGGGGGTGTGGCCAAAGCATGAGCGTGCCCATGGTCGTGCGAGGGAGAAATTGGGAAAAAATTCTCCCATCAATTTGCCATCCCACCATTGGCTAGGGCTCTCGCCACCATCCACCCACCCTCTCCTCACGATTTGATGGCTTGACTGGGAGGTTGAGGCGGGCCGGATAAAAAGACAGGTCAGGCCGCATGTGGCCTGCAGTTCGTAGTTTGAGGACCCTGCATTAGATCTTCTGGAAAAGTTTTGTTGTCTAAATAAACAGAAATGTAAACAGAGGTTGAACATAACTTAATTTAACTTTCATGTTCCTTCTTAGTGACTCTAGGCAGAATTCCTAAGTTCCAGTGTAGATTTTACGCTAAACTAAAAATATTAAATTGTAAATTTTAGCAGTTGCCAGTATGGCTCTTAGTGAAATATATTAGTTCACATTGACTTAATTCATTTGGAAAAAACCCTATTTAAACAAGTGATGCATATTTATAAAAGGAAGGTTACATAACCTTTTCCTACCAATCCATGCCTTGTGTTATTTTTTTAATGTTTGAATTTTTTCATCATTGTATCATCCAAACATAGGGCCGCACAGTTCTTTGCTGATCAACAAAAAGGAGTAAAGTGCCTTGTTGAAGCGGTGAGGTGCCCCGTTTCTAACTGGTGAGGCAACTGTGATCCATCACTTCAGTTGGTATGGATTTCCTTACAATGAAAAGTTTTATTATCAAGGCAAAATATGTCCAACATAATATTGTATGGCAGCAGCACAATACACCCCTGGAGACCCTTCAGTGCAGCAAGGCATAATAGCATGCTCCCATAAAATACATTATCTCACTGAGTTAGATCAAGAATAATCATGAGAACAGTTTGCATGAAGAAAAAAAAGTGGCCCAAAGAATCTAATTAGGACTTTATTTAAAAAGCGAATGGTGGTTCAAATCTATACTGTATCACAAAAAATAAGAGTACAACAGTTTCTCAGTTTGTTGGGAAATTATGGAAGTCTAAGACATGAGGTTATATAATGTATTATACATTGTGGAAAAAATAAGAATCTATATGTAAGCCATAAAGCAATCTAAAGATTTTCTCTAGATTGCTGTGTGGCTTCCCTAGAAATTCATCTGTATAAGAACGTTGCCTTACTGTAGATCTTGTACTGTTCTTTACACTATAAACTGAGTGAAGCAGCATACTTTAAAATCCATTTGACTACCGAATAATTGATAATTTAGAATGCTGAAATATATTCCCTGACTTCAACAGCAGGAAATGTGGAATGAGCCATCTTGCATTAATAATTATTTTAAGTCAATATGGTATGTAGAGGAAAAAAATGATTTGTGGTTACTATGGCAGATGTGAAAGAGCGTTGTGTGTTGCAAGCATATTTACATATTTGTGCCTCTATCAATAATTCTATGAATACGTTGTAAATTCAAACTTCAAATCATAGTATTTAGAAGCTTCTTGGGTATATAGCTTATGTATCATTATATCCTCAACAACTTAAAAATTATCTCAGATTGCTTTGTGAACATTATGACTCCACATTGACTCAGATATTTGCTGTTGATTATGCCACCAGTGATTTAGAGGTTGAAACACTTGATCTGTTGAATATATTTATTATATGAGCATTTCAACTGTCATTATGCAGCTGATCATCAAACTGAGACTTTTTCCTAATTATTTCAGTCTCATGAGCCTTAATAATAATTAGAAAGACATTTTCTTCCTTGGTATTCATGTAGTTATAAATTAACATTGTATCAAGTATTGCTTTATAATTTTTTTTCTCCAAAAATTCTACTTGTGTAGTATTTTCTGTCTCTGTGTGAGTAAATACTAATTTGTTTGCCAAGAGTTTAAAATATATTTGTTTCATTGAAAAATTTAAATCAAATCTGATCCGTTTATTATTATTAATTACTAGTACTATTATGTTTGTGTCAGAATTACCTATCAAGGCACTTCGGGGTTGAAAGAATTAGCCGGTGACATCACTATTGCCCAGGGGACACGGAGCAGTATCCTTTCATGTCCCTGGTATTTTCCCGCCAAAGTGGTACCTATTTATCTACTCGCCTTTGCAGGCTTTCAAACTTCTAGGTAGGCAGGAACTGGGACAAATTGACGGGAGATCAGTCTGTCACACAGCTCACGCTTTCAGGTTTTTGCAATGCTGAGCTCAGCTTCCTAACCACACGAGTCACCGTGGCCCCATTATTATATACTTAAATGTATTGGCTGCCCAATTTCAGTCTATCAAATCAATTTAGAATATATTGGAGTCAGAAAATGTCAACTGTGCTGAAAAGCATTGACAGACTTCTCAATATTTCTAGTGAGCAAAAAAATAAAAAAAAGTAGATTTTGGTTTCAGAAAACTCTTGACTTGAACTAACCAGGCTACTTCCAGACAGCACATGAGATCATTTGTGAATAAATCTATGTGTAACCATTTTGGTGGAAAAGTAGAATGGAAATCTGAGAAACTTCTAATTTTTGAGCATTTTGTATGCAAAATATTTTAAAATCTGTACTGAGGCTTCAATTTTTCAAGACATTGTTTCTTTATTTCAGGGGTGTCAAACTGCTGGCCTGCGGGCCGGTTTCATCACACCGGAGCCGCTCCCAGTAATGGCAAAAAAGCTCCGATACGTTGCGCGACGTCATGTGACATCGCGAGTTTGACATGTCTGCTTTATTTTGTATTAGTTCAGAGTATAATCACTTCAGTCTGAGATACATTTATTGGTCACCTTGAAATGGGTGATGCAGTGTTGTTTATTTTTTATTAACTTGGGATTCATGGTGAACTATATAGCATGATAAATTGTAATGTGGTTTACTTGTTTATTTGCAGTTTTCAATAGCTGTTAAATGTGAAGTAAGCTTTTAATGTAATTAGGCCATTATGAGTTGTACAACAAAGCATAGTTTTAAACAATTCTTAATAAAGTTATGTTTGCATGGTCTATCCCAATATTTACTCTTTTGTAAACTGGATTGCTGTGATGATTGACATTGGCTTGATCGAGCAGTGTTATGTGCCATCCCTCCAGCTTGTGACATTTCAAGAAAACTAAAATTAAATCTTTATTTTGGGTTTATTGATTTATTTAGGATTTTTTTCTCCTTTCATTTACATTTATAGATCTACTTAATCTGGTTCATTTAAAATACATTGTTCTTCATTCCAGTCAGACTGTTATAAAGACAGACTTGAGTACTGCATTAATATATTTTGAATTACATTGTCAGCCAAATTTAATGGGATCCCAATATGAAAAGACATCAGAAATAGAACCTGAATTTTCCAGTTATCTTTTAGATCTGAAAGATGGCTTTAAAATGTATGAAAACCCTTTTACAAAGAGATATGCCTTGTTGTGAAATCACCTCTAGCTATCAGATAGAAGAGCTTTTAGAGAAGGATACAGAAAGCTAACAATAAAAACATATTGAAAAAGAAATATCTATTGATCACACTGAAGTAATTACTAGTACTAATCCCTGACAGTATGTTTGTCATCTTTTGATGTGATATTCCAGAAACACCTTTTTTCAGAAAATATATTCTAATATATTTCCATTTGTTTTTACCCAGTTCTTCTGTTCCTGATGTTTCCATTAAATTGGAGCCTGATGTGGATTCTTTGGAAAAACCACTGATCACAGTCCTCTGTGATGCTGCTCTTGATGCTACTGAGCTGACTACAGCAAGGTAGAATAAAATATTAAGCATAATTTTAAGACTTGTGTGAACAAGGGTATATTGAATGGGCTAGTTAGTTTGGTTTTTTTGTTTAAATGACACAAAGTTAAGACAAATGGGATAGGTTGTCTTAGCATGGTACTTATTGTATGTCCTGAATTACTGTGGACCATCCTGTGGGAAATAGAATTTGTCAAATTAAGACAGATTGAGACCCATCAATTATGTTGTATTCCTGCATTTTATTGATGATCCCCCTTTACTTCTTCTTTGTCATTGTGTGCAGCTGGGTTCTTGAATTACCGTGTTTCATTTTTATGTTTTAGGGTAATTTGATTTTAACGGATCATCCCTAAATTAAATTATTTTTCCCTAAATATCTGATCATTTATTGTTTCGAAGAAGTGATATTTTACTCCATAAGAAAATTTTGAACATTTTCCAGAATAAATATTATGATAAAGATGAATCCATAGAAATATTTTTTTAAAAAGAAAGTTCTGAGAAATCTAGTTTGGTGTAGTGGTTAAGGCAGTGGTGGCAAACCTTTTAGAGACCGAGTGCCCAAACTGCAACCCAAAACCCACTTATGCATCATCGGGTGCCGGGTGGGTGTGGCCCATTGGGTGGGCGTGACTGCAGTTGTAATGGCAGACTGGGTGGGACTAAAAAGTTCAATCAATCAATTCTAACTTTGCAAGGTCTTTTTTTTTCCCGCGAGAAGTTGAAATTGACTGATTGATTGAACCTTTTTTTTTTTTTTTGCACACGGTGGCGGAGGCAAAAGCAAAAAGGTTTTATAAAACCCAGCTGAAGGCCTAGGACTGGGGTGATGGCGCGCGTGCCCACAGAGAGGGCTCTGAGTGCCGTCTCTGGCACCTGTGCCATAGATTCGCCACCACTGGGTTAAGACATCATGGTATAAATTGGGAGGCTGTGAGTTGTAATCCTACATTAGAATATGTGGACCAGGTATTGCCCTAGGAAGGAGGCAATGTGGCAAACCACTTTTAAAAAATCTTCCCAATAAAACTGCAGGGACTTGTTCAGGCAGTCTCTGAAAATCGGACACATTTTTAAATGGAATAAAAAAAAATCTGTAGTTGGATATTTGGTAGCCCTTGTAAAGTAGTTTGCTTCCTTAGTTCTTCTTTCCTACAAAACTGTTAAATGACGTAGTACTGTTTTAATAAAATGAAATATTAAAACTTTGAAGATGTGTTTTTAGCAGTGGAGACACACAAATCTATTTTATACAGTATTTCTTGACAAGATGAAGAGCTATAGAGAGAGAGAGACAATTTGGGTGGCTGTAGAAAAATTGAGAGTTGTGGATTTTTGTTCTTTTTAAAGCCTGAAGTAGAAGATTTAGGCAAAACTAGGAGAAATCTCTTATAGTAATAGTAAAGTTGGAAGGGACCTTGGAGGTCATCTAGTCCAACCCTCTGCTCGGGCAGGAAACCCTACACCATTTCGGACAAATGGCTGTCCAGTCTCTTCTTAAAAACTTCCAGTGTTGGAGCATTTACTGCTTCTGGAGGCAGGCTGTTCCACTGATTAATTGTTCTCACTGTCAGGAAGTTTCTCCTTAGTTCTAGGTTGCTTCTCTCCTTGATTAGTTTCCACCCGTTGCTTCTTGTCCTGCCTTCAGGTGCTTTGGAAAATAGCTTAATTCCCTCTTCTTTATGGCAGCCCCTGAGATATTGGAATACTGCTATCATGTCCCCCCTTGTCCTTCTCTTCGTTAAACTAGACATACCCAATTCTCGCAACCGTTCCTTATATGTTTTAGCCTCCAGTCCCCTAATCATCTTTGTTGCTCTTCTCTGTACTCTTTCTAGAGTCTCAACATCTTTTTTACATCGTGGTGACCAAAACTGGATGCAGTATTCCAAGTGTGGCCTTACCAAGGCATTGAAGAGTGGTATTAATACTTCACGTGATCTTGATTCTATCCCTCTGTTAATGCAGCCTAGCACTGTGTTGGCCTTTTTGGCAGCTGCAGCACACTGCTGGCTCATATTTAAGTGATTGTCTACTAGGACTCCGAGGTCCCTCTCACAGTTACTACTATTGAGCATGGTGCCACCTATGCTGTACTTGTGCATTTGGTTTTTCTTGCCTAAATGTAGAACCTTGCTTTTTTCACCATTGAATTTCATTTTGTTAGTTAGTGCCCAGTGTTCAAGTCTGTCCAGATCCTTCTGTATCTGAAGCCTGTCTTCTGGAGTGTTGGCTATTCCTGCCAGCTTGGTGTCGTCTGCAAATTTGATGAGTTCCCCATCTATCCCTTCATCCAAATCGTTGATGAAGATGTTGAAGAGTACTGGGCCCAGAACAGAGCCCTGGGGCACCCCACTACACACTTCCCTCCATATAGATGCAGTTCCATTGAGGACCACTCGCTGAGTACGGCCGGTCAGCCAGCTACGGATCCATCTGGTGGTGGTTCTGTCTACCCCACATTTTTCTATCTTGTCAAGTAGTAGGTTGTGATCTACTTTATCAAATGCCTTACTGAAGTCCAAGTAAATTATGTCCACAGCATTCCTCTGATCCACTAATTTTGTCACTTGGTCAAAGAATGCAATAAGATTTGTCTGGCATGATCTATTTTTGACAAACCCATGTTGGCTTTTAGTAATGACTTTGTTTGCCTCTAGGTGTTCGTTGATTCGTTGTTTGATTATCTTTTCCAGGATCTTCCCAGGTATTGAGGTCAGGCTGATAGGTCTGTAATTTCCTGGATCCATTTTTTTTCCTTTTTTGAGGATGGGAACTACATCAGCTCTTTTCCAGTCCTCTGGTAGTTCCCCTGTGTTCCAGGATCTTTGAAAAATATAGTTCAGTGGCTCCGATATCACATCTGCCAGTTCCTTGAGAACTCTGGGGTGTAATCCGTCTGGTCCTGGCGATTTGAACTCATCTAGGCTGGACAGGTGCTCACTAACGATTTTCTTGCCTATCTTAACTTGTGTTTCTGTTTTGTTTTTTGTGGCACTATTTTTGATAGGTTGGTCTGTTTTTTCCCTTTGTGTAAAGACAGATGCAAAAAATGAGTTAAATAGTTCTGCTTTCTCCCTGTTGCTTGTCACCTTCTTGCCACTTCCACCCACTAATGGACCAATCATTTCCTTCACTTTTTTCTTGTTTTTTACATGTTGAAAGAAGCTTTTTTTGTTATTTTTGACTTTGGTCGCAAGCCTCAGTTCATTTTGAGCCTTGGCTTTCTTCACTTCATCTTTGCAGGCTCGGGCTATTTGCTGATATTCTGACTTAGTTATGTTCCCCTCTTTCCACTTTCTATACTTGTCCTTTTTATCTTTCAATTTGTCAGAGAGTTCTTTATGCAGCCATGCTGGTTTCTTTTGAGAGCTGTTATTTTTCCTCTTTGTTGGTATTGTGCTAGACTGTGCTTTTATTATCTCATTTTTCAAAATTTCCCAAGCTTCTTGAGTTGTTTTCCCCTTGAGGATTCTCATCCATGGAATCCTTCCCAAGCCCTCTCTAAGTTTATTGAAATTAGCTCTCTTGAAGTCCAAGACTCTAGTTTGACTGTGTTCTATTGGTTGTGCCTCTATAATGTTGAATTCTAATATTGCATGATCACTTCCTCCCAGGGTTCCTATGGCTCCAACACCGTCTATCATTTCATCTCTGTTAGTGAGAATTAGATCCAAAATGGCTAATCCCCTAGTTATGATATGCTTTAGTTTTGAAATAAGTGAAATGCTTCTAAAGCAATATTTTGAAGCTTTACTGTGTTTTAACAGCATAACTGATAGTGCAGTGATTTGTAGAAAAGACAGTAATATTTAGAGAATAGTGCTGCTACTGTATTTGATAAACTATCATAGAAGTAATTTAAGGCTGGAAAATGCTTTAAATAATTTTAATAGAGTGGATTCTTGGCTTTCTAGCTTAACAGCTTGGTAAGAGGCTTTTCAGTGTAGTAGCAAAATCATAGCACACAAATGTATTGTCATATCGTATATGTGCACCACCTGCTCATAGATCCCTAGGGCCATAATCTCATATCATGTATCCATGTTGGATGGGACTATGGCTTTCAGACACATTAAAAAATCAGTAGTTTTTCCATTGACTGTGCTAAATCTTGACAAGGGCAATTAAGAATTGACTATTAAAAACTGACTTATCTATGTAGCTGTGAACTTTTACATGGAGAACAAAGAGAGTAAAGTAAGCTACGCAAAGAATTTTCATTCATTGAATATAAACTCTTAACAGATTTTTATGTTATAATAAACAGACAACAAAGTTGCAGTTGTATGCACTTACCATTTTAGCCAGCATTACATTTTAGTGAAAGCAGTTTTGCCCAGATGCAGTGATTACCCTTACAATAGATTTGTGAAACTTAAGAACTCCCAGGCGGGTGCTAGAGGAAGAGGAGAAATTGGGGTGAGTCAGTTCTGTACTTATACTAATTCATCATTCATTAGTCTGAGCAATTCTGTATTTGCGGATAGATATTTTAAAAGCATTGTTGCCAGTGTGAGTGGTTATGTAATGCTTTTCTGACCCATTAAAAAAATACTAGAACAGAAAAAATAGAAAGAGTTGATAACTTAAGAACCACTAGTTTCATTCTGCAAATGAATGTAATGAAATGCAGGAGGTTCATTTGGAAATACTAATTAGTAGTTGCCCCAGCTTTGCAAGCAGTATCAGAAAATACAGAAACTGTATTTTCACATGGAGTGAACTCAAGATGAAAGACATGCGTTCAACTGAACTTTTCTTACACAGACACTGTTTGTATAGGACAAGACAGTAGAAAAGACAGTAATATTTAGAGAATAGTGCTGCTACTGTATTTGATTGTGCTGCTACTGTATTTGATAAACTATCATAGAAGTAAAGTGAAAAACAATGAGAACTTTCTGACTGTAGAAAACAAGGAAGAAGATTCTGGGGGGGAAAGTATTTGGACATATTAGCAAACATTGTTCCTGGAATAATGATCTCATTTTTACTTTCATCAT